AAAGGTATTTTTTCCATTTCCGCTCTCTAGAGACCTGGGGCAGGTGTTCTTATTGAGAAATGTCTGCCTCACCTGTGACTTACTGCGGTCCAAAGAGGGTGGAATTCAAGGTCCTGCTCCTGGATGGTTTCATATAATAGATTGTGGTGCTTCTGACAGTTTTTGAGCCTGGCTGAGTAGTTTGCAAAACTCTTAATGGCCCGTCAGAAATGTAGAGGTTTGCTGACGCCAACAACTGATTTGAGGATAAATATGAAACTCTGAGAACTTAGAGCTGCAGCCTTAAAGATTTGCCACGTTACCTTTTCCTTTTATAGAGACAAGCATTTTGTCGTGGGTTTGATTTCTTGTTTTCCACAGCAACTTTTTGATACAAGGCCTTTGAAATGTTAGGGTGAGAGCATGAAAAATGGTTGAAGTAGACAAAGATTTATTAAAATGTATAGTTTGCTGTATTGATCTGCGGTTTAGCACTTCATCTTTCCAATTATTTGGATGTCAAAATACACTCACAAATGTAGCATGGGGTTTGTGTCTATCATATTATTCTCAAGACATGATTTTCCTTTTAATTGTGATTTTGTTTGTGGGGTCAGAATATCTATTCAGAGACGCGTAGCAATTTACCCAGTGAGAAAAGGATTTTCATGTACGATTACCTCTTCTTTATTTGTGCATTTCTGAATCCTTTTTTCAGAAATTCTTATATAGCTGCTATTGCTGCTCAAATTGCCATGGTTTTTAAAGAGAATAATGCTTATTGATAGTTCCCACATGCACTGGCAGGCACATCTAAAACCTGTACTTTTGTGTTCACAGCTTGCATAATATAAAATTTAGAGATTGCTTGTCAAACTAAGTGTCAGCTGAGTTTCCTAGGAAACTCACTGAAGATATTTATAAAACTACAGATCAGCTTAATAATAGATATAATAATGTCAGTTAGCTCGTGATTGGTTTTTTTAACTTTATCAGTCCATTTTTCTTCGCTTTAATTTGTTGGCAAACCTAACCACTGCATTTCCAAACAGAGTGGTGAAGACCTTCCTTCCAATGTCTTGCCTAATTTGTTTTAAAAAAAAAGGTAGTTTGTGCTGTTCCATGTAAGGAAAACACCCTACTGTAAAATTAAGAAGAACCTAAATGTCATACTCATTATCAGATTGAATCATTTATAAATAAATCCAGAATTGTGAAATAAAAATATAAATATTATATCATAAGTTACAGTTTTATTCACAGTTGAGTTGAATGCGTGAGTTTAAAGTTCATTGCACATGCATGAAAAGCAGTCACTGCAGAATTAACATAACTCCTGAGTATGGGTTTCTATAGAAGCTGCATAAATAGAAGACCTGTCAGTACTGTAAAAAGGCATAATTCTGTGAAAATAATTTTATCCCTGAGCTGAAAAAAACAGGATCTAAAAAGAGAGAATAAATGATACTGGTGTCCATTTTTATTCATTTTTTGCTATTGTGTTTTCCTCACACTGATTCTTTGAGTGGAAATACAAGCGTTGCCACAGCTGGGAGGTATCTTTGTACTTTAAGCACTTTAAATTGAAATTTTAGTAATGTAAATTTAAAATTTGCTGGTGTGTGTATATATGTGTAGGAATAAAAGAATGTATATTATGCCAGAACATAATCATTAAAGGCATTTAGCTTTAGTAGAAATTAACGTTCTTTAGAAAGCAATTTAGAAAAGTGATTCTAGTTTTCCCATTTTAATACAGTAATGAGAATGAAGTTAGCAGATCTAGTAATGAGGCAGTACTGACTCCTTATCTCATCTGGAATCCATTACTTGTACCTACTATGTACATTTGTCTGTCAGAACTATCTTTTTATACTGTGCTAATTAGCCAAGTAAGGAACTTATATGAAGGATGGATATTCAAGAACTGATTTTCTTTCAAAAGAGTATAGTTTTTGGTGTTTCAGTGTCTAGAAATCTCAGTGCAGATTTAATGTAGTTGCAAAAGAAATCTTAGGAAGCCTATCCATCACACACTGGAAAGGTTTATTTTTTATAAAGCTACAAAATTTAGCCAAATCCTAATAGTAGTTGCATGTTGATGTATTGGATGCTAGTGATACCATTGCAGCTTGATACAGTGGGATGGCAGGTAAAACCTTATAAATCATGGCATTTGTTGCACGTGGCCAGCAACCTTACAAGCATAAAACGTTATGGCTGCTATGTCAAGTGATATTTTTTCAGTGCGTGATACTTGTCAGAGCTCACTCTTGAAACTGTGGTGTTGCACTTCAGGGTATTTGAAAACGATCCTTTTATTGGGGGGAGGGTGATGATTTCTAAATGGAAGACGACTTGGGCTGATACTAGGACATCTGATTAGGAGACTTACTCATTCCCAACGCTGCCATGGATTATCTGTAGTGTAACTCTGCATCTCTCCTCGGTTCCTTACCCATAATTTTCCGGTTTGGTAAATGCAAATGCTAACAGCCAGTAACCTCCCTGAAGTGTTTGTTGTATGTGTAGGTGAGAGAGGTGTGAATTGGTACTAATTACCATGTTTAATCATTTTGGATGAATTCTGCCAACATGACCTTGATATTGGGGGGGTCAAGATATAGCGTCTCTGATTTATACATCAACTCCAGAAGGAATGCTTCTGCAAGAAAAACACCAATTGACCACTGTCTTGTGAGGTTTGTGATGGAGTCGTGTTTGTGCACAAATGCTTGCTTCTGCCCACAGTCTAAACCAGAGCCCTTTTGTGACTCAAATGTAGTTGAGCAGCATTTTCTCCCCTGACTGTTGAGTGTATCGATCCCAAACTATGCAAGCGATTGCGCTGCCCACAGCAGCAGTTTGGTAGCTCTCCCTTGGGCTCCTGCCCATTTTCTCCAGGGTTGTTTAACAAACTTGCCGCCTTACTGCACTCTGAGACCTGGATTTATCCCTCATTACTCTTTATTCCTCTTTTACCTTGATGAAAAGGGGCTGTTACCCAGCCTGTCGGATCAAACCATAAAAAAAACTGGGCAGAAAACTTTGAAGCAGACTTGGAAGTACAGGAGTGTTGCCTGGACAGCCATATTAAGGAAAATTACTCCTTGTTTAGGAAGAAATTCAGCTTGGAGGCATTTTTGGTTCAGGGGTTTTGTGCCTTCTTTTTTCATCTTGTGTGCTGCCAGCGTAAGATGAGAGTTGGCTTCATGATAGGTGCACCAGTTAAAAATACATTGCTCTGCTCCGGTTTCTGCATTAGCTGGGGGGGGGTAACTGAAGTTAAAATTTGCTTAGTGAATATTCCCAAGGTGAGGGAAATCTTCTGACAAAAAGGTTTGGTCTGAACACTACTGCTTTCTTATGGTGACTGTAGCTGAGTCTAAAGATGTACTTTTATATCTTTAGATAAGTTTATGGTGGCTTTTGGCCGGGGAGGAGGTTTTGTTAAAAGTTTATTTTTCTTCAGAGTTTGTTCAGGATAGCTTTGTTATCAGGCACCCATTGTGTTGCGCTAAACAGTCATTTTTTAAACAATATGCTTAGCCGTGACACCTTGATCATCCAGAAAGAAAAGCTGGATATTCTAACTGTAGATACTGCATTTTGTTTCCCCTGTTATAACAATGGAGGTTCAAAAAGGGAAAATAGTATAAGTAAATATATACATAGCATATTTTCTTTCCCTTTCAGTTTGTATCCGTGGGAAAACAGTATGAGAATTACAAAGAGGCTTTTAGGGGTATATTTTTTCAACTGGTCAGTGTGTGTGACCCCTGTGTTAACAGTGAGTCACGTTGCAAGTCAAGAGTTCACTGGTTTTTCCTCTTTCCCACTGCAATTAAGTAGACTCCATATGCACACCCAAGTAAAATTGGGAAAAACTTGCCAGTTGATAAAGAAATCTTGATAATATTGTAGCAAGATGAGTCAGCTGGTGGGATATTCACTGCCAAATACAAAATAACAATGCAGAAATTCAAGAAAGCTTCTAAGTCATGGGGGCAGTCTGGGGACAATCAGCCAGCTGGGCTCACACGAACTCCAAGAAATGGATGAAAGTGAGAGAGAAGAACCTGCCTGTTTTAGCTGTATATATAAAATCACATTTTTATGTCCTTAATACTGCCATTCTACCATGTTCTAGGAAAGAATTAAAGCTTGAAAAGATTTTATAAAGAATTGGAGAATGTGGCTTCCCCCTTTTTTTCTGATTGCCTTTTCTCTTGCCCTTCCCTGCAGTTGTAAGTTTTTGTTTCACCTTATACATCTCACTGAGTTTTGGCAACATAAAGACTCAGATTGGTTAACCTCCCCTTCGTGTCAGTTTTGGTTTCATTTCTTACGCTTTAGTTGCAGTGTTCTAGGGTAGCATGTCAATCCACAGATATTTGTATATATTAACAAGTGTTTTCTGCCAATATTACTGAGACCATAATTAACATGACATGCTAAATTAGTATTATGCTAAATAAAGGCAACCAGTCACCCTGTTTTCTTATTTAAACCCCAAAATCTTTTTTATGTCTGAACGACCATATAATGTTATGACACATAGTTAGTATTTTTCAGTGGACCTCACAAAATTATAACATTTAACTGCACTTGGACCGCTTGTGGGTACTGCATAATGGTAAGTGTAGAAGTGCTGTATTGAAACAAAGTCTGGGTAAAAAGCTGTTTGACTCGGAAAATGTAACCTCAATTAATGTTAAGTAAATCATTGGACTCATACCTTTACCATTGGTCTTGTGCTTTACTTTGCAGCAGGAGTCTAAACCAGAAAAGGCAGTGAAAAGTGTTATACTAGGCAGCATTTTACATATCTAAGTGCGTGTTTCTTTTTTTTCTAGCTTTTTAGAAAGAATTGACAGCGTCAGCATGGATGACTACACACCCATTGGTCCATTGGTCTTGTGCTTTACTTTGCAGCAGGAGTCTAAACCAGAAAAGGCAGTGAAAAGTGTTATACTAGGCAGCATTTTACATATCTAAGTGCGTGTTTCTTTTTTTTCTAGCTTTTTAGAAAGAATTGACAGCGTCAGCATGGATGACTACACACCCACAGATCAGGTTAGTATAACTAATGGGGTAGGGTCTGAACCAAGGTGCCCATTCCTATGAATTCTTTATGTAATTTATTTTAGTCCCAACAGCAGCTGAAATAGGGCATAATGCATGATATCAAAATACAGTCTAGCAATTTAAGTAATGGATATTAAAGAAGAAGCTTCTTGGTGGTGCAAGCATGTCTTTTACAGTTATTAGATGTTGGTCATTGATTCCTGTAATACATCTGTTATTTCTTCTTGCTTTCAATTCTGTGTCCCGCAAACAAAGCGAAGGGAACAGAAAACATACCTAAACATAAAAGCCTACAGTTTCCCTCAACACCCTTTGTTACGCAGAAGCAGTGTTTTATTTCAGTGCTGGAGGTGATGGAAACCCAGAGGGAGGCCCCCCATGTCCATCAAACTGGTCCTGCAGGGGCAGAAGCCTCTAGTGTCCAAATTCAGGGGAGAGCACCAGCAGCAGCAGCAGACCTCATGGACTCCTCTGCAGACACCTTCATTCTGACCTGTGCCCATCTCCTGTGGGCAGGAGAGTTTCTATTTAAGCCTTATTTGCAGGACAGTGCACTTTTTTTTCTAGATGTCATGATAGAGTCATCTTGATAGAGTGCTCTATTGTCAGAATTATTCAGGAAAGTTAAGGCTGAAGTGGTGCAGCCTGCAAGTAAGAAAGGGCTTCACCATGGTGCACGGCTTCGGCTGCCTTCCCTGAGCTCAAGCTGTGAGGTTTCCTAGGGTAGGATGTCTCTTCAGCAAACTTATTCTGAGGTTGTTATTTTTCAGTGCTGATATCCCCCTGTCATCTCGTAGTCTCAGCCAAGATCATGGGCCACATCATAAAGTGCAAATACAGGTGGCAGAAGAGAATCCCTGCACTGCATAATTCGGTCTGACCATGCAAGGTGTTATAATGGGTGGATGCCTTAAAAAAATAACATTGCCAAATCTAATTGTGCCATCAGGGACTGAAATTCAGAGAAATGAAGTGACTTGCCAAAGATCACACAAGGAAGTATGTGGGGCAGAGCTTGTTCCTTCAGAACTAGTTCAGGTCTATAACCACAAGCCTGTCCAATTGCTCTGACCGTAGCCTGAAAGAGAAGGCAGTAAAAAGTAGTATGCATTGTATTATAAGGTGAAACTTGTATAGTTGACCCAATATAGGATCAATTATTAACACCCTCAAGACCAAAGCAGTGGCACTGGGACTTACTCTGTCTAGACCTCATGGTCTGATTTGGGCATCGATACCACTCAGCTGGAGGGAGAAGTCAATGAAGCAAGGCCTCGTTTTTGCTTTCATTATTAATGTTGGTGTTGGCCTCTTTGTTCCTGGGAGGCCCTTCTCTACCTGGATCAGCCATTCATCATCTAGAAGTTTTTCCTGATATTTCCTTTGGGAAGAAATGCTCTGTGTCTCCAAAGATCAGAGGAGGCCTTTGGTATTTGGCAGGCAGAAACTTTTTGCTGTAAAGGAAGGATTCTCTTTTGCTTTTGGGTTTTCATCCTGTTTTGCTGTATTGGTTGCCATGCTGAATTAACTGATAAAAATCACTGCTTTCTTTTTTTTCCCTTGCTTTCTTTAATATTTTGGGTTTTTTGCACCATCTCAAAATAATGACCGAGTCCAATAACAAATGTCAGCAAGTGACAGAAAATGACAGTAACGTATAAAACAACCAAACTAATTAAATAAGTGGCCTTCAGCTGGGTTCATGCAGCTGTCAAAGTGGCAGAAGTTTGCCAGCTACCAGAGTACTTTGAAGCAGGAGATGGCAGGGTGGGGGGAAGAGGCACGCTGTGCTTGGACTCTGCACTGCCCACTGCCTCCTTCCCTCCCCGCCTTCGCGGCCGCTGCATGGCAAGGAGGGCTAAGCTAGTGCCAGCCACCCTTCCCTTGCCCCAGGAAGGGAACGCTCCCTGGGGACAGGCAGCCGTGCCCAGAGGTGGCTGCTCAGGGGGAAATTCACCCCATCAGGCATCTGGCAGCTTTCTCCATCCCCGATTCTGTCCTGCACCCGCTGCCCAAGCAGCAGCAGCTGGGTAGCCAAGGTTAAAAGCGCTGCTGGCGATGACGGTGGCACAAGGGTGAGATGGTTGCCTGAGGTATGCATCATAAATTGCTTTTGCCTGCTTCCTTTGAGAACCTAGGAAATTGTTATTTTTTTAATTATTAAAAGAATGTTATTTAAGTCGTAAAGTATTGCTGGTTCGAAAAATAAGAAAGAAATGCCAGATTCAGTATAACCTGAATTCTGTTCCCCTGTGCTCTGTAATAGAGCTTTAATTACTCGGTCGCAAGCTATTATTTCGATAGGATTCCTGTCTCATTCAGTGCAAAAGAGGGCAGAATTAAGGTTACCCGGGCAACTGTAAATCTGGAGTTTTCTAACATTTGAATACTCGACTTTACAACATGAATAGCATATTTTTCTTAGTTTTATGATCCACATCACATACAAAATTATATGACCATCAATAACAGGTTTCCTGCTTTCTGAGTGTGCACAGGCCACAGGCAGGTACTATGTTTGTGTGTATCCACTGTGTCAGCAGGGACAAATACAGGTTTTCCAACAAGTCTGATTGAACTTCATTTAAACGGAACATTTAAGACTTTCATGGAAAATAATATTCCATCCTTTAAAAAACAAAATGAGGTTAGAAATAAAACCTTGCTAATCAGCTTCTCTGTTCTTATTTCAGGACCTATTAAGATGCAGAGTGTTGACATCAGGGATTTTTGAAACAAGATTTCAAGTAGATAAAGTAAATTTCCAGTAAGTCTATTAGTAATAATTTATTAATACCATGCTAATTTTTAACAACTTAGTTCAGATGTCTGTGCTCATGTATGCTTGGTATAGTAGGCTTAGGGTGGGAGTTGGTTTCAGGTTTTTTTTCGTTTGGTTTGGGTTTTTAGCTCTCTTTCCATAGGTCCTAGTAAAATTGCCTCATACTTTGCAAAAAGAGATGATATTAGTTACATGTATCAGTGGTGCTCTACTGTGGGGTTGTCAATGGCTGCTTTTACTAACTGGTTCATTGGTATAGCACTGTAAAATCATAAAATACTTTTGGGGATAAGATCTGGCAGAAGTCAGCGCGAGTGCTGCCACGAGTCAGGCTCTGTACAGTGGGACGAGGAGAGTTAAATGTCTCCCTCCTTCCAGAGGGCTGCAAGCTCTGTCTTTGTCAGAGTTTTGCGCTGTGTCTCTGTAATAAACGCCGGTTCTTGCCCAGAAAGGTGGCAGTGCTGACGGGGCAGAGCTGTCTCCATGTCCTCCTCCTTATGGAGACGCCCTCTTCCCACCACCCTTCAAAATATGCCGAAAACTGTCCCTTGTTTATATAGTACAGTAAGTCCAACCTAACACACTACATGAGCTTCTGTGGGCTGGAAAGGTCAACACTTGCCTTGGAAAATAGTATATTTCTTATTTTATGGGTTCAGTAGCCTTCTCCTGGGAGAGCAGGGCGGGGGGGCTGTGCAGCTGGCTGATGTGCAGCGCAGCATCAGCAGATCTCTCTGCTTCGGGTGGTATTTTGCTACCGCTGTCCTTGGGGCTGTCAGATTTTTTAAACTGAACCCTTGTGCTGCGTGCTTCATGTGACTTTCCTAGTGCACATAAATGATATAACATCCTATGGCTTTTTAACAGCATGTTTGATGTAGGTGGCCAGAGAGATGAGAGAAGAAAATGGATCCAATGCTTTAATGGTAAGTAAAAATATTCCATATGTTTATTTTGAACTTATTCTCTGGAATGTGAGCAGCTTAGTATTCATATTCACACATAGTGCGTCACTAATAAAGGAGAAAATATAGAAAATTTGGGGGGGTATTTTTGGCAGTCTGGGGAGTAATGGCAGTGTTACCCCAAGGAGTATGTGCTGGGATAACAGAGATATTTTTTCCTCTCTTCTTTCTTTTGTGTGTTCTGCCCAGATGTCACAGCTATCATCTTCGTTGTGGCTTGCAGCAGCTACAACATGGTAATAAGGGAAGACAACAACACAAACAGACTACGGGAATCCCTGGACCTTTTCAAAAGTATCTGGAATAATAGGTAAAACATACTTCATTTCCCACCGATGCTCTCCCCAGTTTAGCTACAGCTCAACCCCTTACAAAATAAGACTCTCCTTACTATATGCTCAGGCTGTTTATTCAGAAGATGCTCAGGCAGGGGCAGGTTGTGGGGTACCCCCATGGTGTGCACTCCTCCCTGGTGGGGCCCATAGTGCAGGGAGGGTGCAGAAGGCCTTTCACCACTGCTGCCAAAATGACATGGGGTGTGGGGACAGCTTGGAAAGGGCAAAGCTCCCCGTGTCAGCTGCAGGGAGGGAAGCAGGGGAGACCCCTTCCTGCTGTCACTGTGCTGGCTTGGCCGAGGCTGAGAGCATCCTCCAGATGAGGTTTCGTCTCCTCCTGGAACGTGGCACTCAATGCCCACATGGGCAGCCACTCTCGTAGGACCCATGTCTGAGAGCACACAGTTTCTCTGCCTTGTGGGATGATATTTCAGATCTAATTTAATTGCAACTGCCATTAAATTGCCATTCTGCCACACTGCATGTAGATTCTCGATATGGAACCAAATAACAATCTGAGTGTGCTCCTAATAGAGAATAAGTAAAAATGATACACAAAATCAGGTAATGAAAAGTTTCCAGAACATACCTGTCAGGATGCTCTGCACTAAGAGGTGATTGAAGGCAGAGTGAGAAAAAATGTTAAGTGCAAGTCCCAAAGGCACATCATCACAGTGATGGCTAGGTACTAATTGGAGAAGAGGAGAGATATTTTTTTTTGATTCATCAGGTGTCATACAGGCCACCCTAAAAGACAGGATGTCTGTGTGGATGAACTGTTACTTAAATCAGAGCAGTCTGAGGGAATGCAGATTTCCAGGCTTTTTCTCTTGCTTCAGCAGAACAAAGAAAGTAGACAGTAATGTCTGGTTTTGGACTGTGGTACTTTTAGGAAGTGTCATCATTTTCCCTACTTAATATCAAAAGGATAATTTAGAAAACAGTATTTGAAGAATGTTCCCTTCAGCAATGTATACTGCAGGTTTTATAAATGTATTTATCAATCCTATAAATACACCCACCAACCCAGGTGCAACCCGATAGAAACAATAATTTAGGTCATCTTTTTTTTTTTTCTTTTGAAGCATGTTCCACGCTACTTCACTCTCTGTCTGCAGAGAGACAGTAAATTTCCTGTTGAAATGATATGTTTCCCTTGATTAACATGTGAGAGCTAACACAAACATTCGGTTTGTTTTTGACAGGTGGTTACGGACCATTTCTATCATTTTGTTCTTGAATAAACAGGACATGCTGGCTGAAAAAGTCTTGGCAGGGAAATCAAAAATCGAAGATTACTTTCCTGAGTATGCGCATTATACTGTACCTGAGGATGGTAAGGTTTTTCACCACCTGGGGGTTGGACCTGCTACCATAGCCCAGCTTCTGTCTCTGTCTCTCTCCCTCACACACACACAGAAATTGATAACCACACACCATTCCTTAACACAGACTGTTGGTCGGGGAGGCTCTGCCAGCAGCATGTAGCTCAGAGGTGTCCCAGTCAGGCAGGGTCTGAAGGGGCAGGGCTGTGGGGGGATGGTGGGGGGCTAGCCCCAGAGCACCTGCTTTCCCCTGTTTGGGAGCAACCCAGGAAAGCAAAGCTGCTGAGTGTGTCTCTCCCCTGCCAGGTGCTCCTGCCTGGGCCTCCCGCAGTGCTGAGCCTTCCTAGGGAGACATTAGACTTATTTTGCAGCCATTCTGCATCCTCCAACTCAGTAAAGTCCAGCCTTTGAATAAAGTTCAGGCTGGAATACTGATGGGAAGCCCAGCAGACCCAGCAAGGGAACTTTAGTGGAGGAAAAACCACATCAAAAATACCCAGAGAGCTGTGACGATGGACCAATTAGCATGGGTTCTGTTTCTTATCATTTCAAGAAGTACAATGATTCCTGCACTGCAATGACATATTGCCTAAGTAAACTTTGGCATTATGCTAGTTTTATACCAGGCAGAAGGCCTCCAAATATCTCAGGTCTGGGTCTAGCAAAAGTGGTAAAACTTGCACTTTCTGCCCACTGGCCTCTGCCTTACCCCAGTCAAGCCCCTGGCATAATATTTGCAGCAACTTGTCAGAAAAGGCTTTTGTTCTCCACTGACCACCAACAATGGCCAAGGTTATGGAAGTGAAGGTGATAATAAGCTGTTTTCAGCTTTCATTCAGGTCTGGAATTTCAGGAGTGTGATGCTGAGTTCCAAATGGAGAGGTTAAATAAACTGTCCTAAAACAGGAGTTAACCTGGCACCAGTTTTATAATGCTAAGGGATTTCAGCAGAAGTCTTCTGTCACCATCACCCACATTTCCCTCTCCCAAACATACACCAGATATACACAGGGTTTGGGTAAATTTTCAACAATTTTTTTATAGTAAACCAGATGTCAGAATAGTGTAGCTTTTGGTGTTTCTCAGCGGGATTTCACAGTGGATATCCAGAGTGATCCAGAATATTCACACATGAAGTAGCTCTTTATTTTTAACCAGTAGTTGTTCATTTATTCTTTAATTCCAGCTGGCAGTATTTAAGGGCAGCAGCACTGAACTCATAAGCTGCTGCTCATTGTGCTGCTGCTCTGTGTTTATGCCTAGCTCTCTGAGTAAAAAATATGTTTCCATATTCTGATAAATTCTACCCCTTACCATATTGTGTTTGTAAGCATCTGATCTGGTATGTTAAATGAGGAGAAATCACAGTGATGGGAAATGAATAGGTTATTTCCTCACTATATTGTTTTTTACACTTACAGTAAATATAGTTGTTACATGGCCTGGATAGAGATGACTTCATCTGCCAACAAACAATTAGTGACCAATGAGTCTCCTGCTGAACAAGAATTTAAGGTCCCTTGATGGGCAGTATATCTAAGTATTCTGCTGACTGGGGTCCTGGAAATAAAACACACATGAACATATATTAAGAGACCTGTTGATGCTATCATTTTTTTCAAGTGTAATCTTGGACTAATTGTTTTGAAACTCAAATTCCTGCCTGAAGAAGCTTTATTCAAGAGATGCTGCTCTGCTGCAGAATCTGAAAAGCTCAGCTGCTTTTACTAGTCATATTTTCTGATAGAAGTTAAACCCTAACTCCACCTTGTTTTATATCTGTGTGAACAAACTTGTGCATGTGAGTAAGCCCCTTTATGATATGACCAATGACATTATTGCAAAGATTTCAGCCCAAAGATTTTAGGTTCCTAAAAGATGTTAAAGGCATAGAAGTTTATTTCAGATTTTACAGCACTTTTCTATTTTAAAATTACCTATCAGGAATCTCCTGTGGATCTTTAATTTTTTAATTTCTTTATCAAACAACTGCTTCCTCCTTATTCAATCTTTTATTATGCAAAGTATATGATTGTTTGCTTTTCATGTTTCTGATGTCATTTATTTTTAATTGAACAGCAACACCAGATGCAGGAGAAGACCCCAAAGTCACAAGAGCCAAGTTCTTCATCCGGGATGAGTTTTTAGTGAGTAATTTTGATCTTATGTGTGATTCTGTCATAGGAAATACTGGCAGATGGCATAGCTTATTTAGGGAAAACTGATGGGTTTTTGCAGAAAGCTAGAAGGAGAGGAGAATATCTGGCAATCCCCTAATTCTCATCAGCTGCCTGTCTTGCAGAACCTTCCCCACTGCTTGCACATTTTTATGCCCATTTTATATATTAGTCACCTGCCCTGCAAAGTATCACACAGCAAGTAAGTGCTAGAGCTGAAACCAGCCGTGTGCTGGCTGCTTGATGCCAGGGTGGGTGTGGGTGCCAGCAGCCCTCCCTCTCTGCGCAGGGGGACAATGCGGAGCGCTATTTCCATTGCCAAGTAGCTGGGGTTTCTGTGGTTCTCTACCTGCAAGATGTTACTGGCTGTTGCCTTGAATGTTTATTTTGTGTACCAGTCCATTCAAAAGCAAAGAAGCTTTTAACTTCAATCCTACATTCCTCCAAGGGCTTTGGCAGTGGTCAGCTGGCAAGACAGAATGAACAAAAAAGCAGATTTTATCCTTAAGTAAGATTTCTGTTGTGCCAGTTGGGAGGTTTGCCTCACCCTAGGACTGGTGTCATGGCCCTACTGAGGAATCCTAAGACAGTTTCCTTGTCTGGTCACAGTTATGCTTGTAATTAAGGTTCTCTCCAAAGCTGGAGCTGAAGGGGCATTGTCTGCATTTTGCAGATACAAGCAGTTATCAGGCACAGGGTCACAGCCCAGCACTGCTGTCAGAAACGGGGGCTTAATCCAGTATCTCCTACAGCTTCACTCATATCCAGTAGCTCCAACAGTGCAAAGCAGTAGCAGAGAGCAGAACCAAAGCTCAGCACTCTCTGCATCTTGCCCTGCTGGTAGAAACTGTACAGGGTGTTTGAGAGAATAAGTGTAATGATTAGAATTAAGAATTTTAAAGTCATTATGCATTTACAAGTGGTGTTAGGATTTACAGCTGTTGATGCAACAAGGAAGAAAGAAGCAATTAACTATGTACACGCTTTAGGGATTTCCATTCACCACCTTAACCTTCCGGCTTATGAGGAACAACGTCAGATTGCGCTGTATTAACCTAAGAGTTACAAAAAAAAAAAAAAAAAGCCCACTTCAGGCCTAATCTGTCTTGCAGTAATGCTGAAACGCTGTGAAGCAGGTGGCAGTGTCCAGCTGGGAAGGAGAGTCTTAAGAGAACCAAATTATGGGGAAACTAGGGTGAAACTCCCCACCTTTGTCAATTTTCACTATTTAATTAAAAAAACCTGAACACATCAAGGGTGAGGTTCCCACCTGCCGTGACTCACTGGCGAAACGTGGGGCTTTCCCCTCTTCCCCAGCAGGCGCCGTAGGCCGCTTCCAGCTCCGTGGGGTCAGGGACAAAAGGCCAGGTTTCGGAGAGGAGGGGACAATGGGGACAGGGAAAATAACCTCAGCATAGAGGCTGGGGAGGGCTCAGGCACAAGGAAGAAAAGGTGTGTATTTTTCCACCTGCTGCCTTTTTGGCTCTGCTTTGTACCTTTCTTTCCAAGTCTCTTCATTTATGACCTTTTCCTATTAAGTTTTCGGACACGTCTCAGGGAAGTCTGGTTTTATTAATTTATAAGCTTTTTTGTGACTATTATCATGGGAGCTGGACTGCATAAGGCCTGGTTATGTGTGAAAATCACCACCAGGGTGCTTGGACCCCTTAAAATCCTCCCTGGCTGTAGGCACTGGTACTGGCAAATTCAAAGCGTGATAATTGGAAGAATTTCAGAAGGAAGTTAAATATAAACACGTTTCCAACATCTGTTGCTACACGGTAGTGTGTGAGTATTAGGAAGGCAAAATAACATGGGCTCCTGATGTCAGGGTTGGTGGCCTCGGGTGGGCTCGGGCAGCAGGGTTTTAATGGCAGGGGGAGCAGTGGCTGAGGGTGGCAGGACGTATCTTGTAGGAAATTCTCCTTCCTTGGGCTCAGGCACGTCCTTTCTCCTCCCAAGCGCTCCCCAGCCCCGTGTCAGTGCTGTGCACACCAGGCTTTCCAGCTGTGGCTGGTTTGTTTGAACACATCCCCCGTGTACAGGCAACCCCTGTTAGAGCAGCAGCACAGCCCCTCTGGGTCCTGCTGGTTTGTAAAAACATCTCGATCTGGGAAGTGGAGGAGCTGCTGTTCTAACACACAAATAGCACATTTGGTTCCTCGCTGACAACTGCCTTTAGGTGCTCACAGTATAGGGATGCCAGGATTAGATGATATTCCTGCTTGTGCTGTAGGAAGGTAAATATACTTTCCGTTGCTGTCCCAGGGGATATTTTTTCCCCCTCTGAACTGGTGCTAAGTAACACGCTACTGATTTGAGTAGGGGTGAAAATACTGCATTTGTCCTAAAATGAGAGAGCTACAGAGCTGTCAGGGGACAGAAAAACCCGAACATTTTGAAAATACATCCTTTGACAGGCTTTACATGTAACTAGGTACCACCAGAACATTGTGGGCAGCTCACTACCGTAGCCGTGCGAGCCAAACACAAGCCAACACTTCATGAAGGACCACTTCTTTTACCGAAACACGAGACAAAGATTGACCGTTGGGTGGGTAGGGTGGTGTGCTCCCTGCTGCCCACATCTCAGGGGGGGTACAGGTACCTTGTCCCTCACTGACAGCCTAGCAGATTGGGCCATCATTTGGGGAACAATTTTAATTTTTTTCTCCAAGGAAAAAGAATGTTTAGTAACTGGTCTCTGCTTGGCGTATTATACTACTGTCATATAGAACAGATCTGCGGGGGGGGGGGGGGGGGGCGAAGAAAGGGGTGGTTTC